GGAAAAAAAAAAAAAAAAAAAAAAACCCGATTCACTTAAATATTTAATATTAAAACAGTTTTAAAAACTTCTCCACGCCCCACTCTACCATCTTAAAACACGTTCTCGGGCTCTTGAATCTATTATTGATGGTTCATAGTGACGAAAATTTTATTTGAAAAAAAGATTCAATAAAGCGAAAGAGTCGCCTCGTATTAATTGATTGTATTATCAATAACATTATTGTGTAAACAAGGATTTTTGAATTTGCTTATTATAAAAATATAACCTGGCGAATCGGTTGGATACGAATGGCAAAGGACGTATGTAGCTCTGAACAAAAGCATTCGTCCCGAAATTTCAATGAAATCTAGTAATCTAGTAAATATTTGCATAAAAAATTAATTTTGTTTAAAAGGCAAGGCGAGAAAAAAAATTCACTCTCGTGATGATCCGGGACCGGTCGAAAGTTATCAAATGGTGGTCAAAAAGGCTGAAAAACACTTATTACCATAATCGTTATCTGAATTTTTTTTGTTTTAAAACTAATTCGTTTTTACGTTCTGAGTAGAAAAACGATAAAAATCTATTGTATAGTTTTACATTACAATGCGTTTTTTTTTTTTTGATTTCTAACTGTGTTTTGAAAAAAAATATATGAAACTACAACAGCAAATTTACGATACAACGGGTTTTTCTTCAATTCCTTGGTTAAAAAAAAAAAACAAATATATATATACATAAAAACATAACTAGTTAGAATATTATGTCTGCGGTTCATTCGATAGTGACTCTCTATTTGTTGCCAAATACCGATCATCAATCATAATTAAGTGTTGTAAAATGTATCTTGCGAACATAAAATTGATCACGATTCCGCTATCGAAATATCGGTGGCACAAAAATCGCAGTAAAATGCGCCGTTTTATATTGGCCAACGAAACAGGCTCAGTTTTATGTATAGTGCCGAGACCGTGTAGACTTTGTTAATATGCGTCCGGCACAATCATTGTATTTTATATGACCGTGAAACACGTTAACGGAGTTTTTTAACGATCGTGTCCGCTGTAGATGTACACGCTATAGATATGTACACGAGTTATATACTCTCACGTTTTGGCCATCGTCATTCCCGACGTCATATATCCCCCCCTCATCCACTCCGTCTGGTGGAAGTGGTATCACTGTACCGGGTTGCCTTTATTTCAGAAATATCGTTCAACGATTCCACGCGCGTTTTAATGATAATACGTATTTATCTTTTATTACCCTTTATCGATGACTGCAGGAATCATCGCCAAAACAGCGGCGTATCCGGTCCGCTACAGCAGCGTTCCGGAATCCTTTGGAATATTTTAAAGATTTCGAGCGCATCACAGAGATTCAAATAATGTATTCCATAACTAGGGAACAGTGGGTGGGGAATCCAACAGTAAATCGAAAAACGTTAGTATATAATTACCATCAACGAGTAAATATGCGGGCGAATCGTATCAAGAAAAAAAAAAAAAAACTTTAAACCACTTTACCGACTGCGGTTACGCAAGAGCCGCTTTAGGACTGATGATGATTCGAGTCCCACACTGATTGCAGGTGTTTAATGGAATCCGGTATATTATCTGTAAGATATTATGTTTCGATTGAGTCTGAATTTTACGAAATCCGAAGCAGAGGCCGCAAAAACATTAAACAATAGTGGAAATGGAACGATTTTCACAAAAGCGTGAGTGCTACGGAGGAAAAAAAGTTTGAGATTTAGATGATTCAATATCTCTTAATCTCATTACCGCATTATCTCTCATAACTTATCGTTTATTCATCTAGATAAGATAAAATATAAAAATATACATAAAATAGATAGTTAATTTACTTATATTTAAAATACAACACTGCTCGTAATAATATTTTATTTTATTTTTTGAATCTTTTTTTTTTTTTTACGTCCATAATAATATATTATTCAATAAGTATGTGTATCTTCATTCTTTACGCTACACACGAACGTTTTGAAGTTTAACATTATAGTGCAGTGATTATCGTAAAACAGTAGTACCAAAATGTTTTTTTTTTTTTTTTGTTGTTTTATACATAATATATATAATTTTTTTTCTCGCCGTTAACTTTAGTATTATTGATACAATTTTTTATTATGGTTATTATAGGTTGTATTTTTTATTTTTATTGAAAGTGAACCGATAAAACTTTACGGGATCCGTCGGTGTTGTAATAATAATATTATAGTATCACTTGTAAGGCTTCTAAATTACTGGTGCAGTCGGATTCCAAATCGCTGGTAAGGAGTAGGAAAACTTAATGTAATAAACGTGTTATTTAATTTATCGAAGAGTTTTTTTACCTATTCGTGGCAATTTTATTCGTATAGTTAGGTATTGATTTTGATCAGTAAGTAACTTTAGTGAATAGCATTCGTATTAATAATTGAAATAGCGTAATAGTTAGAGCACCTCTAATTTCGCAATAGTTGTACAGCCATAAACTGAATATCTGTTCTGTAAAATTAAATATTATTCAGTAAAATAAATAAAAAATTATCAAACACAAAATTGCCGAAACGATAAGCTGTTGAATAGATTTTAGTTGCATACAATTTGCACAGCAAACCTCAAAATATTCTGTGGTCAATCACTTTATCTTTTAATAAGACTTTTGTTATCACGTAAAAATGTAATTTAATTTGTTTGTTAGTGAATCGTTATTTTGTCCAGTTACATAAAAACTACCATAATAACAGTATAAGAAAATATCAGTTTCAGCATAATCATCTTAATCGTCAGTTTTATTAGAATCATCGTATCTAAGATATGATGATTTAAACCAAAAAAAAAAAAATACGGTCCATTAACCACAAAAGCCAAGGCGGTTTAGATATAGATCAAATCCTCTTAAGAGACCATGTTGGTTTCGGTTTGGATTTTGTGATTTAAAACAAAATTTGTAACCTTCTATTCGAACTGAATGTCTAAAACTACAATTGATGACTTGGAATTGAATTTTTATTAGACTGTGTTTTTGATAACGCTGTAACACTTGATACGATTAAAGGATATTCCTATTGAAATAATCAAACGCGTTCGTAGGGCAACGTGATCTTTTCAATAACTGCAATTGCAATGATCCGATAGATTAACGAACCAGTCCGGTAGGTGTGCCCAATGGTGCATCCGTCGTTTTCTACGGTGTCGCTCCAAAACGGACTTTCGCTTGAATAATACCCGTACACTCTGTTACACATACCTGCTCGTCTGATGTCGCGTTATAGATTCATATTTCTTTCGTTTGCCCAGAAATACGTTAAATACAAAATGCGTATAGGTGTGTGGCTACCTATATAATAATAATTATAATCGGATATCTCGGTCCACGGGCCGTCTCGACGGGGCTCATAGAACGGCGACTAGGCCGGTATATAGTATCCGGCAGCGAATCCCAAGTGGGGCGCCGTTATTTATGGTGTACAAGTACAATCAAACGGGGGTGTTTGCAGCGTTTAATAATAATAGGGATAAGTGGGTTCCCCGGAAGTCTATGATTAGTGGCCACGGGGAACGTCTATTTGCCTCTCTCGCTCTCTCCCTCTCGGCCGCACACTCTCGCCGTCCTAGAATAAGTTAATCCGTCGTTTTGGATCGCGATTTTTATACCGAATATTTAACTGTAGATAATATTTCGATGTTACATGCTATATGCGGTGAACGGATTCAAAATACTCGTTCCATTAATTTTGTTCGATTTTCAGAAATTTAATCAGAAACGCATCTACGTTGGAACGCACTGGAATTTTAAACATTTCGTTCATAACTTAGAGGAACATGAACGAGGTTTATTTATTATTTTTTCTTTATATCTGTTAAATTAAAATATTTTTTAAATTTTATATAGCATATATGTCTATTTTGTATAGATTTTTATTAAAAAAAAAAAAACACAAATTCTTGTGATTTTTCTTTAAAAATGTTATGCATAGGGATCATAAGATTATTAGTATTATGTCATATTTTTTTTTTAAATTTATTAAAAATGTAATACTAATATGTGTTTTCCCTGAATGTAAACAAAATATTTTACTTTTATTCGAAAAAGAAAAAAAAAATGTTAGTTTATTGAACAAGAGGTCACACGATGATAGTTATACGTGATGATTGCTATCATAGTAGCTGATATTATAAAATCAGTACTGTAATATCATTGCGCGAAAAATACATTCAAACTACACTTTCATGATGACTACTGCCATACCTGCATGATTTTGGATTCTGAATGTGGCGAAGAATGTATTGGTTTCACTGAAATGTTTATTTCTCTTAAACAATTATAATACGCAAAAAATATAAAAAAAATGTAATGTTATGTTGCAAGAGCAACTAACAATAAGTAATAGCAAAAAGCGAAAACATCTACCCCTGCTACCCTCCATACTATGACGGCGGTCTTCACTAGCTGATATTGGTCTCATAGAATTACAAGTACAATTATTCAAATTACAAGTCAATAAATGACTTGTAAATTTATCATGTGCCTACTCATGTTCTAATATAGTTTATTTAAATATTAACTATTTTATTTTATGTTTATTAGATTTTGAGTGAAACGAGGAATGTATTGGTTTTACACTGATGTTAAGTTTTTTTATTTTTTTTTTTTATGTTAACACTTTTTCTACCAGACAGCATACTCCGTTTATCAAGTATACCAAATTTTCTGAAAGGAAATTTTCTTTGGGTGGTACTTTAGAGAGTTCTTTTTTTTGAAATTCTCATTAATCTTCGAGATAATGAGGAAAACCTCGGTCTTTAGGTTAAACAAGAATGGAAGATTAAAAATTAGGTTGTCATTGTCAACCGTTTTTATTTATTTTTTGTTATTATTGAGCTATTATTATTTTAATATTTTTCGAACAATCATTGTTGCCATGGAAACGTACATTGTTGTAATCATTTTACCATAAAATGATTTATACAATATATTGTATTGTTGAAAAAGCAACATTACCAACTGAACTCGGCTCAGAATCGTTTTTATAGTTAGCAATGGTTTACCTTTGGTTACAGATATACATTGAATTTCCGTCTATAGTCTAACTTTTAAATTTCTCACCTAAAATAGTGACTGCGCCCACATGCGAAGTATGCTTGTCCTTTTATATTCCGAACGTAGCGAGAACTTAAGTTTGAAAAAAGTAGGAAAACGTACCATTTTACATTTCATTATTTTATAAAAACACTGGCAACGTTTTCTACCAGAAAAAAATGATTTAATCGAAAAATCACAAAACGCCTTTTTTGTTGACTTTTAAGTTTAATTTAATACTATACTATCACCAAAACTTTTGAGCCACTTTTGAGCTTTTAAACAATTTTAATTTTCTGGAGTTTTTTTTGGTGTAATTCGGTTATAAATACACGTAGAGACAAAAACTTGGTAATAATTCTTCAATTGGACTTACCTAGACGTGGTAAAATTTCAAAAATCATTGGCTGACTTTTTTTTTTTAAAAAAGCGTTTTGAAATCAAATTTAAATGAAAATTGCAAAAAAAAAAAAATTACGGCACTTCAAATTATGTATTACCGAACTGCGCTCAAAATCGTCTTTCGCCAAGCAATAGTTTATGGTTGCTTACAGATATAAATGAAATAACCATATATAGCCTACCTTAACTTTTCACACACAACAGTGGCCGCTCCCATTCCCAGTATCAGCTCTTTTTTTTTACCTAATACCTGTATCACTGAATATTTTCAAAAATAAACGACAAGTTTTCTGATATTTATCTAGACAAAATTTAGATCAATCATCTTTATCTTTATCTAGATAAATTATTAGGTATCTATTCCCGACGCTGCAAACGACACTTAAAATTGTCTCCGCAATACTGTTTCAAAGACTAGCCAACTTAAAGTCTCGTGCCAAAATGATACAGGGTGGTGTATCTTTAGTTTGTACGTTATACATACCAGATTTTTACACGTCTAATATTTTTTAGTATTGATACTAATAGTATAAAATTTACACGAGCAGTGTAACGGATAGTAAGTACTTTAGACAAGTACCTATAAAATATTTTACTCTTTAAGTGGGTTAATCGATATATTTAGGGTAGTTATTCAAATTTTTTTCTTTTTTAAAAATAAATTATTCTTTGGAGGTAGCTCCGTTGGCATGTCGTTATTTCCCGGAATAAACAGTGGTGTTTTAAAGAGTAATTTTA